TATCCCCTATAAACAAGAAACTGTTTAGCCTAGAAAATGAAAAACAGGTTCTTATTTTTTAAAATCATATTAGTGAAATGCAGCTGCAAAGCTGTGCAAGAAGCCTGTTTGGACACAAGTAGCCCAAGCTCGAAATATAAGCATCGGAGAACATTGACATTGTTGCATAACATTCGAAATGTAGGGATTTGTATGGAAAAAAACCTATCGTTTCCGTAACCTGCTGAAAAATGGAAGCTACATGAATACGTTTCGTGTCAGTGTGATTAAACCACAATAAAAATGATGGGATACAGAGATCAGATTTAGTTCATTGAAAGATACCACTATCATAGTCGAGTCATAGTCAAGTATTTAATGTGGACTAAGTTTCCTGCACACTTCTGGAAACAGCAGAGTTAATTCTTGTTATAGTCGAACAACCTCGTCGGCATTGAGAGTTAGTGGCCGAAAAAACTCTATTTCAGTCGTACGTTTGTAATTTTTCCCCCCGGGATTTCGCTAACCGTTCGGTATTATGGAGTTCCATTCCTATCTGCTTATCTTCAAGGCGAGTATATTGATGCTCCAAAATGTTCAGTGGCTTTTTAAGGGCAAAAATTCATCAAGAAAAACGATCTCTAACAATTAAAGTATCTCGGTATTAGAGCTGAGCTCTTCATGCACGTTTTCCAAGAACATGCGGGCCTAGTAAGAGAAAACTTTCGACAACCATAATTTATTTCACCCTACATATACCTTCGTGGCACTTAATATTACGTAAGCGGGTTCTAATTTTTTTCGTTTTTCCGGCTTAATCTTTCCGCGAAAATTAGCCGCACGGTCTAAAACATCCAGTTTTAAAGATGAATGAAGTATTGATGGCTGATGTTGATTATATGAAACAAAAAATGGCCCCTGTAATGACTTTTGGACGAGCGTCCTTTTGTTTTTAGGGTGTTGCTAAGCCCGGCTTTGACTCAGAGGTATAGAATGTACGTGAATCACATAAACCGTGAATACATTTACTTTGGAGTGCGGTTTCTAAGAATCGTATTTGTGAATTCTTTAATAGATAGAAAAGCAAGGCCCTCGACTAATCGCAAGGATCGATTTCCGTAAAAACCAAAAATTGATCGCCCTCAACAGTGCCACAAGGTGTAATATTGATTCATGACAAATCAATACCTTTACAAGCAATATAATTACAACTAATTAGGCCGTTATGAATGAACGAGGTGCTGTGATTTGCATACTGAGTGAGCAGAAAGAAATAATAGCACTATGATTGATATTGAAATTTTTGGTTTGTCCTCGATCGAAAAACAACTGAAAGTAGGTAAGTAAATGCACAGGCTGCTTCGACCTAAATCAAATGGAGTGAAATACGGTCAGAAGTCCTAATTTGCCCTTAACTGACTCTGGAAGATGGCGGGGTAATTTCCAGTTGACATGATTTATATTCTGCCGTGGCCACAGGAGACGCAGGCTCACAACAACCTCCTCAGTGAAGCCGAATTATAATGATTTGTATGCATGGGAATTTATCGTATGATCAATCAAACGGTTAAAATGCACATTAACAGTACTAGTCGTTAACGTGTACATACCTCATACAGAGATGTCTCTACCAGAACACCAAAACTTGCTATAAAAATGTCGTGCCTTGATCAGAAAAGGTGGAAATTGAAAGTACCGTCTCATACAGAACTCCTGGGCCCAGTTGCTCGAAGCATGGTTAGCGTTAACCAGCGTTTAATACCTTGACAACGTATTGGTTTTGATACTGCTTAGCCAATGGTGAAAGCTAACCATGCTTTGAGCGACTCAGCCTGATCTATAGCCTCCTGCAATGAAGCAGCTGTTAAAGTCAGCCAGTCACAAGGCACTTCATTCCGCGGGGAGTACTGCCATATATGGGCTATACTGGTATGTGCCGCTGTGAAGGGTATGATTTTCAAGCAGTTTACTCTAGGATAGGGTATATAAATCAGAGCGTTTGGGTCTAGAATAGGGTATCATTTTTCAGAAAACTGATCAGTTGGTTGAAGATTTTATGTAGACTAGGGATTGTGTTATAAGGTTTTGTTTTGGTTAGACTGTGCTAGTGACCCCAGTAGTTTCTGGAAAACAGCTACTCTAGGATAGGGGGATTTGGGGAGTTTACTCTAGTATAGGGTAACAAAATTCAGCTGAACTAGCTCTGGTATAGGTTAAGAATTCCAAGGTCCCAGCGGCACATCCCCACCCAGAAATTCCTAAAGTACCTCCCCCGGGCTTCATTCCAACGAATATTAATGGCCAAGTTATTTGAGACTAAGAGTTTAAGCACAATCGAGCTATGAAGGTCGAAACGGTAATGGGTTCATGATAACCGTCACGAATATAGAGATATTAAGTGACCACTAAGCCCACTATGAGAATGTTGATGTAATTGCTGTAGTTACTGTAGTTGGTGTAGTAGCTGTAGTCGGTGTAGTAGCAGTAGTTGGTGTAGTAGTCGTAGTTGGTGTAGTAACTGTAGTTGGTGTAGTAGCTGTAGTTGCTGTAGTTGGTGTAGTAGCTACAGTTGGTGTAGTAGCTGTAGTTGGTGTAGTAGCTGTAATTGGTGTAGTAGCTGTAGTTGCTGTAGTTGGTGTAGTTGCTGTAGTTGGTGTACTAGCTGTAGTTAGTCTAGTAGCTGTAGTTGGTGTAGTTAGTGTAGTTGGTGTAGTTCGTCTAGTTGCTGTAGTTGCTGTAGTTGCTGTAGTTGGTGTAGTTGGTGTAGTTGGTGTAGTAGCTGTAGTTAGTGTAGTAGCTGTAGTTGGTGTAGTTAGTGTAGTTGGTGTA